TGACAAAGGAAAAAGGAAAAATGAAAAACACTTTTAAAAAAAACTCACCCACATTTAATGGAATTTTCGGTCCTGAATAACTCGAACAAAAAGATATATTGAAAAAAGAAGTTTTTCTATCCATAGGAAGAGAATTTTCTACTTTAATAAAATTTTTTAATGAAATTATTGGGCGAGATCTCAAAAGCACAACTTGTTGAGAAAGATATGATCCTACAGCTAGATCTGAATAAAACGTAATCAAATGAAAGTAATGCAAAATCAAAATTTATTAAATATATATATAATTCATTATAATTACCGTTAAATTTATTTCCATCGGTATCACCGGACGAAATACTAATTCCAAAACCCCTCAAATAGGGACTCAAATCTTTAGCTCTAATGCATTGACTAAAACTAATCTGAAGACCCATGGAAAATCCACTATAAATGTAAATGGCTCCTCTATTATCATTTTCGTAAGGCGAACCCACGACTATATCATTATAACCATCCTGATTTAAATCTTTAATTGATGCTATACACGTACCAAATCTTCCCCGCCCAATTTGGCCATTAATTATTTGAGCCTGACGAAAATATTTTCCCTGAAAATTAAAAATAAAATTTTGTATTACATAAAATGGATCTTAATTGTACTATTATATAATTGTTACCTTATTAGAACTCAAAAAAACATATATTCTGCCTTCATCGGGGTACTTTTTAGAAAATAACGGAGCCCCAACCACAAGATCATCATAACCATCGCCATTCACATCCTCCGCCACTAAGGAAGAGCCAAAATATTCACCAAAAGTTGAACCTTTTAATGTTGACTGCACATAAATGGAATCCTTAGAATCCTGTATAGTAATATATAGATTTAAATTTTAATTAATTAAAACATTGATTTATTATTATACTTTTATAAATTTTGAGCCTTTCAATAATATAGTAATAAAATTTTTTTGTTCACATCTTTATATACTTTTGAAATCTTTGAGCTTCAAAAAATAAATTTCAAAAATAAAAAAAAAACAACTATTTTATGTAAAATGAAAATTATTAATTAAATTTATCAAATAAATTATTTAATAAGGCAAAGTAAATTTTATACAAAAATAAAATTATTACTTACCTTAAATTGAAATACAAAAACTTCTCCTTTATAATTACCAGATCTTGGTGCCCCAGCGACAAACCAAAAATCATTATCTCCAAAAAATTTTCCAGCTGCAACAGCATAACCTGAAAAATTATATTAATAATTATTCATATTTTTATCGAATTATCATTTTAATTCAAAGCATAAAAAAGCCGGTCTTATTAATTTTGAAATTGAAATTACATTTAAACTGTAAAAACATAAAATTATTTTTCTATATTAAGTTTTAAAACATTGATGTACTAAATTAATTTATGTACCTCATTAAACTTATCTTTCTAAATATTATACATTTAAATTTAAATTAAAATTTATTTAATCTATTAATTACTTTAAAATTACCAAAAAAAAAAAAAATTGTTATACCTATATAAGTGTAATGATTTTTCCTGGGTAAATTAGTACCGATAAAATCGGCAACAGACATTTTGAAGTTTTCGTTATAGTAAACGGTGCTCCCTATCCAATGTGTGACTCCAGGTGCACCTATTATAATATCTGAAGTCCCATTTACTAACACAACCGAAGTTCCAGCTTGGCCTAGTCCCCAATGGTAGGTAGATAGGTTGACCACATAGGGTTTTGGAGTGTATATTTTGCCTTATAGAAAAAAATAAAAATTATTACGCCAAAACAAAAAAAATATATAACTATGGGGTCATCGTTTTTTTCAACTTACTAGAATCCACCAATGGCAAAAGTTTTAAAACGTGGCTTTCATACGTTTCATTAAATAAATCTTGTACATAACAAGCTCCTGTCATAAGGTATGTTATATCAATATTTTCTGAATTTTTCAAATTTTTATTAATCCATCTATTGGCACAAACCTGTAAAATATATTCATAAATTTTTTTGATTTCATCATGTATGCTTTTATAAGAAACTTACTTACCACGGATCTTTCATAATTATTGTATTGTTTTATATCCATCGAACTTCCTATCCAAGCTTCATCTTCTTTACCGGTGTATACCTTATCACCGGTACCTTCAGTTTTACCAAAATTTTTAACTAGAGTATATGTTTGACAAGGTCCGTAAAAAGGACATCTGTATACAGAACCAGGTTGAAAAGTAGTTTTTTCATTAAGTTTTTTTCTAGGAGCTCCGATTTGTATAAACCTAAAGAAATTTTTTTTTTTAATAAATAAAATTTGAAAATTTGTCAGCCAATGAAATAACAATAAACGTACCATGATCCATTCATTTGTGAACCTTTTGGACGGATTGTAACAGTCATACCGAAATAACTATTATATTCTTCAGTCTTGTCAATCGCTTGATAAATCAATGGATGACTAAAATCTAAATTGTAACTTTCAATAACACTAATTAAAATAAATATTATATAAAATTTGCACTCCTTCATTATTTTAGAAAAAAATTAAATAAAAACAATGTTTTAGTTACACACACACACACCCAAAAAAAAAACAGTATCCTTCTTTTTTACAAGATTAATTCAAAAACTTATTTTAAATCAAAATTAAAAAACAACATGCAAAAAAATTAAATACATATTCTCTTAAAAATTGAAAAAAAAACAAAAAACAAAATATTACAGTAATATTTAAGTAAATTTTTTGATAATAAAAATAAATAAGAATTATTTATATAAATTCTTACAGACTACTATTAATAAACATATATTTTGAGCTACCTTAACGTTAAAAAATTATCAATGGTTAAAAATGACTGCGGTTACTGACTTCCTATTATATACAGATTTATTATTTTTATCATTTTTTTTTAGAAAAAAAAAATTAAAAAAAAAAAATTTTAATAATTTTAGTGTAATCAATGGTAAATAATTATTATCAAATTATTTTTCCTCGATTTTACAAATTTTTTTTTCATTTTATAAAAAATTAATAACAATAAAATATTATTTTGTCATAAAAATTTAATATTTATTTTCATAAAAACCAAAAAAAAAAAAAGTTAAAAATTAGATAAAACTGTATATATTTTGCACAGAAAAAAAATTAAAATTTAATACAATAAAAAATAATAAAAAAATAAAATAAAATAAATATATTAAAATAAACAAAATAAAATAAAATTTAATAAAAAATAATAATAATAACACGTTATTTTAAGCAATACTTAACAAATAAACACAATCAAAACAAATTAATAAATTTTGTTCATATTTCTAGAACAAATTAATAAAAAATAAAAAATAAAATACAAGTCTAAATATTTTTATCCATGTAAAATTTTATAATATGTTATGGATATGAATATTTTTTGTTCTTTAAAAAAAAATAATAGTAATAAATTTATTTTATTAAAAACTGAGTAAAAAAATTTTATTCGGGTTTTACGAACTTAAAAATTAATGTGATGGTATTAAAAAAAAAAAAAAATGAAAAATTAATTTCATAAATTTCATCAACGTTATTAATTAATTATGCGTTTTTTTTTTGTTTTTCGACTAATTATTAGTTACGTTTTTGTAAAAAAAAATTAGTTTCATTGAAACTTGTTCGCCTTTTCTTTACTGGTTTTCTATAAAATTTAGACTTTTTTAATTGGTTTCGTTTAAAAACCTTTTTCCGTTCCTTATGAGCAGAATTATTTAAATTAGCATCATTTGTATCTGAGTTTTCTAAATTAGAGGAATAATTATTTTCACTCATTAACTCATCGCAATCTTTTTCATTAAAGGAATCATCAACATTTTCACAAGGTTTCGATAATCCAGAACAGCCTGGTAGGGTTGAAACTTCACTTGTGTTTAAGGATGAATCAGAAAATACATTGGATAAAACTGATTTGTTTGAAATACTGGAGTCTGAGGAAGATAAAAGGGAAACGTTAGAACTGGGTTTTTCAGCAGTAGTAGTAGTAGTAGTAGTAGTGGTAGATGATGGGCTAGGAGTTGCGGATTCGCTTTTACATTTTTTATAATTATTTTTATGAACCTTATCATTATTTTCTTTTAAAAAATTAAGAAAGTCACTTTTCTCTGAAGTCAATGATGCATTTTTTGGCCTTTCCCAACTTTTTGATGCATCAAGAGAACAAATAATTTTTTTTCCATTTCCTTTTTCTAAAAGTATTTTTGACAAATATTTTTTTTTCTTTTTAATAATTTTTTCATAAATTTTTGTTTGACTTTTTTTGACTGACGAAGAACTTAAATTTTTATTACAATAAAGAGAATGAGGTTGGGGTAAACAGGACATATCATTAAGTTCGTTTTGAAGTAATGAATCAAAAAAATGAATCATTCTCGTGTCTTCCTTAACCGATTCTTGAATATAGTCGTGAGGTAGAAAACTTGGACTTCTGGCACACGATTTTGCAGAACAAAGAATTCTATGACTTATTCCTGAAGATTTATCACGATCTCCTTCTGAATAAGGAAATCGAAACGGGCTCCAAATCTGTCACAAATTATATAAATTTAATCAAGTTTTAATTTTAATCAGTGAAAATACTTCTAAACGATTACAAGGTAAATTTATTGAAACAAAATTATGACGTTTCAAAAGGACTGTAAATGTAAAAATGTACACAATAAAAAATATTTTAAAAAATTGACCATCAGAAAATGTGAAACTTATGTAACATCATAGTACATACCTTAATTATTTTTTCAACTCCTGAAGTAGCAATAAGTTGCTTACAAGAATTATAACGAACTTGATTGACAATTGATCGATGGCCAGTTAATATTAAATGTTCCGAACCAACCCATTCATCATCAGGCCATGGTTCAGGTACTTTCCACATGTACAAGTTAAAATCGTCGGACCCTGCAAAAGAATGATATTTTAATAAAATATAAATAAAAAAAGTTAAGTTTTTTAAAGTCCTAGTTTTTATATCTACCTGACATAATAAATTCGTCCTCGTCTCCAGCAAAAGAACAACTTTTCATTGTACAGGCATTAAAATAAGTCTTTGAATCGAATTCTAATTTTTTTTTGGGATACATGGGATCATAAATCACAAGAGGTAAAAGATTTCTTAGAACAAGTAAAATTGTTCCTTTTTTGTTCCATCGAACTGCCATACTTGGTTCATCGTTGCATTGAATGAAAATTCTAAAAAAATTAGATTTTTTTATTTTTAAAAATTATGTTTTTTTGTATATTTTTCACACATACACACATACCACATACTTTATCAATATTTAAAATAAAAAAATCTATTAAAACATACTCTTTAGGTTTTCTTATATCCCATAAATGAATTCCAAGCTTGGAATTTGCTGTTGCAACTAATGTTGGCTCACAAGGATTAAACATAACTCCATGAAATGGAGTTTTAACTTTGGCCAAGCAAAGTATATCTGAAAGATGAAAAAAAAATATTTTTTTTAAAACCCAAGTAATTAAATTTCTTAAAAGTTATTTATTACCTCCTTTAGATTCTCTTATGTCGTAAATTAAGATTTTGCCATTATCTGCTGCACTTGCAAATATATTACCATTGCTAGGATGAAGGGATAATGAGAATACTGGACTGTCATGAAGAAAAATATCAACTAAATTACCCCTAAAATAAAAATTCAAATCTAAATATTTATTTTAAACTGAATATCAAACATGATTTAATTTTAAATTTACTATAACATTATTACTAATAACGAATAATATCAAGATAATTTTATAAATAAAAATTTTAAATCAATACAAACCTAGTAATTAAAGAAAAATTTTCTACAAATTACATCTTACTAATTTGAAAAGTCATATGAATTCTTACGTTGTGTAATCATGTACAATCACTTGATCATCATTACTACCAGATAATACTCTCTTATTGGCATCATCAACAGCAAGACAAAAAATATTTGAATAATGACTACCCTTCATAACAAATGGATCAGCTATCTCCCCAAATTTTCCTGAATAATGCATCATAGCATCATTAACATTCCACATAAGAATTCTTCTATCATCTCCTCCTGTAAATTTATAATTAAAAAATAAAACTTGAATTAATAGTTAGTTGAAAAATTAAAAAGCTTTAGCAAAAAAATCCAAGAAATCATTTTTTAAAATCAATTTCAATTATTCAATGACATTTTAAATGAGAAATGAAATACTTGCAAAACGTTTCATTTTAATTTTATACAAAAAAAACATCTTTAATAATTTCAAATAATTGTAAAATAATGTAAATAATATTAATCATGTTCTTACCAGAAAATAAAAGGTTTCCATCAGTAGAAAATTCAATAGCATTCACACATCCAAAATGGGCTGTTAAATCTTTTTTATATAAATCTTTTGCTGAATCTAATAATGTATAAGAGAAATTTTTAGAATTCTTTTCTGTTCCACCGATGCTTCTTTTAAATATATAATTAATAACACTCATTTTAATAATAATAATAATATATTAAAAATTATTCTTTTTTCGACATATTATTTAGTACATATGATTTCGATTGTTACTCGAGATATCGATGTTGTAAACTTGATTTGTCGGATTTCAAACGGATTTTTATATATAAATAAAAATGTATTTCCTTGCGGATCACAAACGAATTAAAATTTTTTTTAAATATTCTTAACTCTTTTTAATTATTTCAATTGTCAATTTTAATTTATTTTAAAAAATATAAATTTTTTTTTTACAATAAATAATTTGCGAGCGTTACCTAATATTTTAAAAAAATTTTTTAAAAATCCAAAAATAAAAAAATTCAGTTTTTTTAGGAAAAAAAAAAAAAAAAATCACTAGCAGCAACCGATTTTTATGAAATTTTTTAAAAGGAACTTAGGCGCGATTAAACTATTGTTTACATTAAAATATTATTTTAAATTTATTATAAAATGCAATAAATAATCAAATTTTTTTATTTTTAAAGAATTAATATCAATTTAAAAAGTAAAATTTTTTGCATAAGTATAATGAAGGTATATAGTTTTCAGGTGCAAAGTAAATAATTAAAAATAATAATTGTGGTTAAGGTACCATTTTAAAGAATCCAAAGGAAAACTTGTACCAAGAGTAATTATAAACAGAGGCAGTATCTTGAAGTCCCATTTATTAAATAAATTAAATTTTCTTTTATTTAATAAAAAATATTTGCTATTTATATGTTATTAATGTATTTCATATTAACAAAAAATACAAACTATAATAATTTATTGAAAAAATACCAAAAATATGCATAATCACTTGAATAATGTGAAAAAAAAATTCCAATAATTTTTAAATTCAGGTTCAATATATATTTAAAAATAAAATTTTTAGCGTTGAAAAAACTTGAAGTTAAATTTTAATATCATCAAATACAAAATATTTACAATTCTTTATAAGTTTGGCTGTTACATTTTATTACATTAATTAAATATAAAGTAATGGTTTGGTAAGATTTTATATTTAGACCAGTAAAAGTCCTTTTTTTAAGAAAAATTTCAGAATTTCACACAATTATGAAGTCTGTGTGAGTGTAATTCTAATGGTTAATTTTTTTTTTTAATTTTACTTCCAACTCCTGAAGTTTTGTATCTAATTCTAATGATGAATAAGTTCTTTTAGAATTTACAGGTTTATCTTTGGTTAACTCGTTATTACGTTTCTAAAAAAAAAAAAAAAAATAAAAAACCCTCCGTCTTAAATCATGAAACATTTTAGTTTAATAATTTATCTTTTATTTAAAGAGTGAATGAAATTAAGAATTACTTTACTCTTATGAATTAATTACTGTCATACAAAAGAACTTACTTCAAAGTAAAAATATTCTGGAGAAATACTTTCCAAATACAAAATCCTGTCTTCAACTGCTTTTAACCGTGAAAAAACATTTGCTGAACATTTATTGATGTTTAAATGTTTTTCAACATTTATTAAACGTTCTTCAGCTCCAGGTGGACAATTATCTTGTAAAGAATATTCTTTCATACTCGACGATTTATTTTCGTCTGAATTTTGAAAAGAAGGACCGATTGTATTTTCCACTCTGTGAACTTTAAAAAAAAAAAAAAAACTAGTTCTTTTTGCTTAATTTAAAAAAAAAAAAAAGAAGGAAAAATTCTGTAATAATAAATTTACCTTTAAGATGACTGCTTGAATTTTTAGGTTTTTTAAAAAGAGCATTTACTCTTGCACACGTGCTTTCATTTGAGTCCTCATTATTTTTTATGTTGAAATTTTGAATATTACTCAAATTAATTTGTTGCCTTTTTCTGAACACAAAAGAATTTATTCTTCGTTTCACCTAAAAAGATATTTATTAATCTTTATTTTTTTAAAAAAATTCATCATTAAATAAATATATATATTACCTCTTGAAGATTAGCCTTAACTTGAATTAAATCTAAGGGTACCTCGTTTTGAATATTAGTTTCTACAACTTCTTCATATAAATTTATACATTCGGCGTTGTTAATCAACATGTTATTTTGTATTTTATTACTTTCAGCTGAAAAGGTAATGTTTAAAATAAATACATCGATATAAATAAATAAAAAATTCTATATTTTCTATTTATACTAATTTATTTTTTGTTATAACTTCTTGTTACATGGGAATCTTACGGCGAAGATACACAATAACAGTTTATGTTTTTTTTTTGTGATTTACAGAATATTAATGTAATTACTGTTCATTAAAAATTTTTGACAATGCAAAATATTATAAAAAGAAATTGATAAAACTTTACAATTTGAATTTACTACTGCTTTGTACTGAAGTTACTTAATATATTGTACTGCAAACTAAAGTCTATTAAAGTGCATTTGTTAAAAATATAAATAAATTAAAATAAAGATAAAAATTATATGTAAAAGCTAAACAAAAAAAACATTTAAAGCAACAAAAACAATCTAAAATATCAATTATTTGTTCATTTATTTTTTGTTGACCACATACATTCAGAATTTTCCTTCCACTCAGACTGATAACCATCTTCATAAATTTCTTTTTTCCATATAGGAACATCAGCCTTTAAAGAATCAATAGCATAGGGCACAGCTTTTAAAGCAGAAGCTCTGTGAACAGCAGATATTGCTATAATTACACTTGCTTCTTTTATTGGAACATCACCCAACCTGAAATAAATAATTATTTTCATTATTTCATGTTTCATTAGTAAAAATAGAAACAATCATGACAACTTATTTAAGAAAGACCAAATTCAAATTGGTTTTGCTTATATAATAATTACAAAAAATGTAAATACTTACACATTTCAACACTCTTATTATTGAATAAATAAACTTAAAATTTAATTTCATACCTGTGAAATATAGCTATGTTTCCCACATCAAATTTTCCACGAATATCATGACATATTTTTTGTAATGATTTCACAGCCATTTGCTCATAAGCTTCATATTCTAATTTAGTAACAGTTTTACCCTCAAAGTTATCTCTAGTTGTTCCAACAAATAAAGACACTGCACCAAATTCTGCTGAACATACCATATTATATATAGATTCAACACAAAGTTTGTCTTTTGATAGCCTCACAAAATCCATTTTAATTATCCTAAATAAAATATTTAATTTGGAATATTAAAAAATTGAGAGTAGGTAACTAAATAAAGTAATAAATAGTATTACCTCCACTTAAAGGGGGAATTATTGCTACTTCATCATTTGCCTTTAAATATAATTTGTTTTCTAAATCAATCCAATCTTCATTTAATGCCAATATTAAAGAAGAATTCAAACAATTTAAATTAAATTTTTCTATAATAAAATTTAAAAGTTGTTTCCCAATAATTTTCGATGGAACTTTAACAAATAATTCTTTTACTCCAACAATTTCTCTTGCTTTAGCAAAAAATAAAACTTTCACTTCAACTACATCATCTGTAAATACTGCTGTCTGATTCATTGTAGCATACTGAAAAAAGTTTTCAACTTTTATTCTATAAAAAAAAAAACCATAAAAAAGTCTGATGGCTTAAAATAGTTTTAGTTATATAAATAATTAAATTTAAATTAAGATCACCTAATTATTTTACATTAAAAAATTAACAATAGCTAATAATTTACTTATAATGAAACTAATAGGAATAGAATTTCTTAATTTTATATATCAAAGGTGACCTTTAGTTTAAAGGACAAAAATGTCATTGAAAACATTGACAAACTAGTACAACATTAAATCAAGATAGTACTTATCATTCTATAATATACATTTATTTTATACTAATATATAAATAATTAAAATAAAAGAATTCAATGCAGAAGATTCATACATAATAATATTCTTAAGTATATTATACACATTAGTCTAAAAAATAATTTTTAAAAACAAATATGTATACTTAAGTAAGTTAAGAGTAAAATTACCCCTTAAACTAGTTATAATTAATTAAAATAGTACTTACCTTATTTTTAAAGTAATTTTGAAGAAACTTTTACAATATTTGAATTTAAATTTGAATTTTTTGTTCAATAAATATTAACACTTATAAATTATTCAAAAAATAAAAAAAAACTTTAAAAAAAATAAAAATTAAATTAACATTACCAATTGAAAACAATGTTTAACCGAAAGGCACAATTTATGTTACATTCCTATGCCTGAATGAAACAGTTTCGTTTTTTATAAAGTTGGCTAAACTGCCAATTACAATAACCCTTATATTGTAACGGTTAAAAATTAATTTTACATGGTAATTCCAAATATTTTTTAAATAAAACCAATATAATAAGGGTATTTTTATAATTAAAAATGTGTGATTTAATTTCATTCGTATTTATTAGTGAATTAATTTTTAATTTTTAAAATATATTAATTATTTTTATTGAACACTGACGAATACAGTGGTTACCCCATTGTATTGATATAAGAATTGTTAAACGGCGTCTTTTAATTTATAATCTCAAGTTTTTACTGTATATGTGATGAAATAAATATTTTGTGATTGTATTTTATTTAAATGATTTTACCAGGAATTAAGTTTTTAGTAACAAAAAATTTACTCAACACTATTGAAATATTAAAATCATACGAATTTAAAGTGTATTTAAAATTCATTTGTGATAATGTAATAAATAATGGATGGTGAAAATGGAAATTTTTCAGAAGAAAAATCTACAACTCTAGACCAAAGCTTAGATTTTTCAGATATTGTCAACTGTACCATAATTGATACTGAGACAACAATAAAAAGATTCATTGCACAAAGCAATTTTACAAAATTTTCGTAAAATTTCATAAGTCTTGACAAAACTAATTTTAAAAATGATTCCATTAGAAAATATTAAAAAGACAAGAAATTATTTAAGGTAGGTATTTTTAAAATTATTATCATTAAAACATGTATGTATACATTATGTAAAATCTAGGATAATTACAATTTAATAATTAATTTTTACAATGACAAAAATGTGCATTAGGTTTCGTTATTAATTATAGTCACTATTAGATTATCATTTTAGATTATTTAAAAAAAGATTCTAAAATTCAAAATAAACAATTTTTTGTAACACCCAACTTTTAAATAGTATTGTGTGGTTGAATAAAAATCAAAAAATTGTCTACAACATATAATTTTTTATTAAAATTACTCGAGTAACAAAAAAAAGAAATTTCACAAATTTTACAGTATTAGAAATTATTAATTATTTATATCATTTCTATGAGGAATTATTGGTTTTTTTTTTGTTAAATACCTATAAAACAATTGACAAAACATGCACAGAGCATTGTAAAAAGCAATAATACTTATTTTCACTTTTTAATTCCGTTTAAAAGAATTATATATTTTATTTTTTTTTTTTTAAGTAGTAAAGTATTATTGATTGTGTTATTAAAATTTCTAATATTTAATAAATTATTTTTTAAAATATGTTTCTTATAGAAAAATTAATGACATCTATTTTTAATTTTTCATTTGTATATTTTCTAAAAGTTAGTAACAGAATGCAAATATTTTTTTTTAATTAAATTTTTAATTTTTTAGGCTTACTTTATTAAATAATTATAATCTGACGATCACCGAATGTAATGGACCGAAACAAAAAAATTTAAATTCAGAGTCGATAATAAAAACTCCCACACGAGATGACTCTTCAGATAGTGATTTGATTTTAAATAAAATTATATCATCGATAAAAAAAAATTCAGATAGTGTTTCACATTTAAGCAAAACCAAGCTTCGAAATATTGAGTATTGGTTAAAATCTAATAATGTTGAAAATGTTAAAACGCCTCCTTTTGCCAATTTAAGCACAACACCAATAAGTACTAAAAAGAAAAAATGTATCATAAACACTAAGAAAATAAATAGGAAATCTATCGATCTTGACATAGAAGAAATTTTGAATTCCGTTTATGAAAATAGTTGGATAAAAAACCAAAGTGTGGAAAGTGTGACGACAGAAAGAGACGAAATTTGGGAAGTGAAATCTATATCGAAAACTAATTCCTTTCATCCCACCAGGAGAAAAATTTTTGATAATAAGGACGAAAAAATGTTTTCAAATAACGATAGAAACAATAAAACTATAGATCTTAATGATTCAATTATATCAGGAGTTCATTTAATAAACCTTGAGGATTCCGATAACAGTTTTAATCAAATACAATCAAATGATTTAGAAAAAAATTCGAATAATGTTAAACGCATAAAAAAATTAAATAAACCTAATTTACGAATTAATACTCCACGGAATAAAAAAATTAAAGAAACCTCATCTTCCAAAAAGAACAACAGTACAGATAGTAGTAATGTTATGAAAAATAGTTTTTCGTCATCAACTGCAAAAAAAACAAATAAAAAAACATTTTTAGCTTCATTATCTGTTTCCACTCCGTCTTCCAAGTGCCATCCAGCAGCTCAGTATTATAAAGTTAATTTTAAATCTAAAAAAGACGAACTTATAAAAAAATTGTTTTCGCTGTATAATACCGAGGTATTTGAAGGCAGATTAGAAAAAGATATGAGTTTTACTTGGAATGTAAAATTACGTGGAACTGCCGGATATTGTCATAATAAAAGAATAACAAAATCAACGGGTGAAGTTATACGACAATCAAGAATTGAATTTTCATCTAAAATAATAGATCGTGCCGATAGACTGAGAGATACAATGATACACGAATTATGTCATGCAGCATCTTGGGTCTTAGATGGAAAATTAGATGGACATGGCGCCGTTTGGAATTCATGGGCTACAAAAGCAATGAATAGATTTCCAGAGTTACCCAAAATAAAAAGATGTCACAATTACGAAATTGTAACAAAATACACATATAAATGCACTCAATGCGGTTATTCAATCAAAAGACATTCTAAATCAATAAATACGGATAGAAAACGATGCGGTTATTGTTATGGAAATTTAGAATTACTTTTTAATAAAAAGAAAAAAGGTTGAGTATATATTAAATTTGAGTTTATCATTGATATTCATGTATTAAAACTAGATATAATTTTTTTTTTATTTTAGGTAAGACGGAAGTTCCCGAATTTGATGCGACTAAAACTTTGAGAACTCCAAATAAATTTGCTCTTTTTGTAAAAGATAATTACCAAAGCGTAAAAAATAATTTAAAAAATGCCAAACATGCTGAAATAATGAAGGCATTAAGTCAACAATACGCTACAACAAAAAATAAATCTTGATTTTTTAATATTTACTGGTTACGACGATGTGTTTTCGAAATAAGTACACGAATCTATCTAAATCTTTTTATTTTAATAAAAATTTTATTTTTTTTTTAAAAATCTTTATTGATTTTAATTGTGTTTCCCCTGTTCATCAATTGATATAATTTTTTATTCGTTTCTTAAGTATAAAACTATACAAAAATATATTTCTTATCATTCAGATAAAGAATAAAAATATCCTGTCAAAAAATTAAATGATTAATTTTCAGACAAGAGTGTTAGCAAGATAATTATAAGTAAAGGTATATTTTATTTTATTTATTAAATGTGTTTAAAAAATAATTTTATAAATTTGATTTCCTACAAAGTGTCAACACATTCAAAATAATATTAATTAAATTAAATATAATGTATAAAAAAAGTTTTACACAGCCAATCAAATATTAGTTAATTATAATAAATAAGATATTTATATATAATTAATTAAATATTCAAGTATAACTTAAAATTTGACAAAGTAAAACAAATTAAATGACAAAAGATTCACAAAGAAAGATTTAAAAAAAAAAACGGGTAAAAAAATAAGTTCAAACGTTGTGAATTTGAAAAAATTTATGACAGGCATACCATTGAGTAAACCTTTGGATAAAGTATCACAACGTTGTGGATGGTCAATAAAATTTGTTTTTCTCATTAGTTACAATATTTATTAATTTAGGTCAGTATGTATTTATTTTCTAACAATTTTCATATTTACCTACCAAACATTTATATATATACACAAAAAAAAAATCTCTTTCTAAACACGACATTTACCTATCTACTGATTATTACGTCATTAATATAATAAAACACTACATATTTTTTTTTAAAGGTTATCAAATCTGTGAATTGAAAAAAAAATTTTTTAATGATTTAAGTAGAAACAGTTTGCACTTTTTAAAAGTAATAGTATTAATAATAATTTTTGTTTTTTTTTTTGATATTCGATACTTAATTTAAATATAAAAAATTTGATTTGAAATGAGCTTTACTGAATACGCCCTGCATCAAATGCCCTTTTATAGTTTACATTGTTATTCATGTATATTTTTACCCTTTCACTTAATACATAACAAATGATTTTTTTTTTTGTTCTTTACTTTATAATTATGTTTTTATGTATAAAAAGGTTCACTGTACTGTACAAAATAATAAATATTTTTGATGTACATAATTTAGATTAGTTTTACATATAAATTCAATTTAATTCAAAATTTTTCGAATGCTCATAGGCTTTTCATTTTAATTTGTTTAATTATAATAAATTTATTTTCATTTATTATTAATTACTTTTTAAATAGACAGTTGCATTACAGAAGAAACATGCAGAAAATTAAAAATTTCTTATCCAATCATTTCTTATTGATAATCGATTATTAGATCTACATTTTTAGTCAAAATCTGCATTTAAAATTTCCATTGAATGATTCAATATTTTTTCTTTTTTTCCTATATACTTTAATATTATATAAATTTATATAAAAGTTTTTTAATTATCAAATTAGTCATTTAAAAACTTTTTGGATCATAATTGTCTTAATTATATTATTATTATTATTATTATTCTTTAACACATTGTAAAAAAAATAAAAAATGCAATGTTGAGTGTCTTAATTTTAAAAAAAAATTTTTATTTATTAACTTGTATGTTTTATATTGATTGCTTGAAATTTATCGTAAAGAAAATTTTCTTTTTTTTTTTTTTTTGATATTTGTAAAAAATTTTTTTTTTTATAGAATTGTAAAGGATTCTAATTAATCCAGTATAAAATAATAGTAAATGAAGCTTATTTGACCTGATTTGTAAGATAAATCGATTTTGTTACGTTACGAGGGCGCATGACAATAATTTAAAACATTATTATTATTATTATTAAACAAATTATTTTTTCTCAATTTGCTTTCCCTTTTTTTTTTTTTTTTTTTTTTTATAATTTGCCCAACTGATAAATTAATTTTAAAATCATTAACGCCTAGATAATAAATCCTTAATTTTTTTATATTGAGAAAAAATAAAAAATTCATTAAATCATCAACGTGATATTAATTAAATTAACGAAATTGAATATTTGTTTTAGTTTTTTTATATTTTTACAGTATAAAAGTTTTTTTTTTTCGTATGTCGTATCTTTTATGTTTATTATTTTTTTCTTACTACTCCATTTAAAACCCAAATTTTTTTTTTTTGTGAATATTATTCTTTCCCACGAATAAAACTTATTAATACCATATTTATAAAATATATTTTTAAAAAAAGTTTTGATGGTTGTATAAGTAATCGATTCAAACAAAGAAAATTTATAAATAAAAACTTCAAAAATCTATTCAACCCACTTATAATTTTGTTATTTAATCTATTATTAAATACCTTATTTTACACTTTATTATAAAAATTGCTAATTTTGTCAAATACATTACGAACCAAATTTGGGCATTTCTTATTTGAAGTTTGTTATTTCATTGTAACATTTTATTTATATTTTTTTTTTTTAAGAGTAATTTTAAGATGAATGGTGCTTAAACAAGTTTATTTGACCCCAACGCGAGTTGTAGACAAAATTTTTACAAGATTATTAATTATTTTTCAGGTATAAACTAAAACAATGCCCTCAAAAACGCCTTCGGGAGCTCCTGAAAATGGAGGCCCCCCGAGAACGGAATTACAAGAACTTCAGCTCAAAGCTGGTCAAGTAACCGATGAGGTATGAGAAAAAAAACCTAATTAAAAACTAGAAAATTTCTGATTTTTAACATTTTAAAAAACTTTATTAATAAATTAATTATTAATTTTATTTTTCCAGTCATTGGAGAGCACCAGACGGATGCTGGCATTATGTGAAGAGGTGAGAAGATGAATTTTTTAACTTTTTTTTTAAATTAAATTAAAATGAGAGGATTTTTCGGTTGAGTTAAAGTTTGTTTCATAATTAAAACTTATTTGCCCATTACGCCCGAACCATACCTTTTTCAAACATATATATATATATATTAAAACAATAATTTTAATAATATTTTTTGGGGATGTTAATAAAATATGAATTCATAATTTCGTGTAATTAAAATACTTCAAAAATATTTACTCTGTATAGACATTTTTAATTAGCTTTTTTTTTCTCTCTCTCTCTCTCTCTCCGTAAGGTTTTTATATTAATTCGTTATTATATTTATTATCATTTTTATATAGAGATATTACGAAAATATCAAATAAATAAAATTATTTGATATTTTCAGCAAAAAAAAAAAATGAAGGCATTAACAACACAATTATTAGAATTGTGTACAATTGATGATCATATATATATTGTTTTAAAGATAGAAAGAAAAATATTATTATTATTATTTTATGATTTTCATTTTGCCCTTGAATTATATTTTTTTATTGAAATATATAATTCGATTAGTCATTTTCTTTTGTTTTGAAGTCATATTTTAAATTTATCAACGAAAAACTAAAATATTAATATTATTGAAATGAGAAAAAATTTCATTTTTAATTTACTCCGATTTTCTTATGATTTTCCTAAGAGAAACAACAATAAATGTATTATTTTTAAAAATATTTAAATGTTTACGTCTAATCGACGATGTCATATTTACTAAATTTAAATTTTTAGTTTTTTTTTATTTCGAATAATAATAATAACCCCGTTAAAAAAAATATATATAAATGGTTAAAATTTATTAATTTTTAATTAAAAGTTTCTTAGACTAAATTTAAAAGAAAATAGTCTAAGGTAAGACGTTATTATTTTTTTTTTTTTTTTATATGTGCATGTATTTAATGTTTGATAATTAATTACGATGCCTAAATTAATTAACTCCCTTCTACAACTTTGCTTTCGTATTTAATTGCAACAGCTTGTAATTTCATTAAAATTTAGTCATTGCTTGGTCCAGTTTTTATATTTTTAATATTAAAATATAAAACTACCTGAAGTATTTTTTTAAAAAAAACTAAACAAATAAAATAAATATTTATTTATATACGTATTTACGCACGTACAAACACATGCAAGTTTATTCGGACTAAGCAATTATTATGAGTGCGACAATAAAAAAAAAAAAAAAAACTGATTTGAAATTATCTCGATGCCAAAACTAGTTAGTCTCATTTAAAAATTGATTAAATATAATTATATATATTATTCAAATTTCCAGATTAAAAAACGTTAATTTGTGTGATAGAAAATGCTTTTTTTTGTACCTTTTTATAATACACAAGCATAAAAAACATAGTTATCAATTAATTTCTTTTTTTTTTTTTTTTAATTAAAGTAAATAAAAAAAAATATGTTTGGTACATGAAACTGCTTTCTCAGCTTTTGTAATAAAAAAAAGAAGAAATTTTTATATATTGGTTAAAAAAGAAATTTCTATTTTGTTTAAAAATAAATAAATAAAAACGTTACGCGTTTTTTTTGTGCTGCCCAGAGTAAGGAAGCAGGAATTCGCACCTTGGTGGCCCTGGATGACCAGGGAGGTGAGTCTCCCCAAATCCTAACTTTTAATAATCAAAATTGAAAATTTTTATTTTTTTGCCTGCGAATCATGCCAATAATAAATTATTTGAATTTCTTTTATTATTATTATTATTATTTTATTTTTCTTTAAATATTTCTGGAAATTTGTAAAAAAAAAAAAAAAAAAAAAAAAAAATTGCTTTTAATGCATATAAGCATTCAATTTTTTCGTGCATGAAAATTTTTTTTTTTTTTTGATGTTAAATTTATATAAAAATTTTATTTTCCTTTTTGCCTCTTTCCTCTTTTTTTTCAATTAAATATCAAATTATTAGTTAATTTAGTTATGCAATTATTTAGTTTATAAAATAGTTGCTTTCATTATTATTATTATTTATTTATTTATTTATTTATTTTACGATAAGAGTAAATAATTAAAAGAAAATTTAAACATTCATTATTTTTCAAACAATTAATTCAACTTCATCTCATTATTATTATTATTATTATTATTATTATTATAAGTGTTTTTTCATTAAACGAATTTTTTTTTTTTTTTTTTTTTTTTACAAAATAAATTTTAAACAAAACAAATAATAAATATCGAAACTGGTTTTTTTTTTTAAACATAATTTTATGCGTCTATAAAATTTTATTTCGTTTTATGCGCCTATAAAAAAAAACGTAAAGTTTTCCGGAAAAATCAAAAAGGGGAAATCGATGTTGAATTCAAGAAAAATTTAATTTTTTTGCTTTTTTTCTATTAATTAGTCGTTTTAGTTATTGTTTATAAATTTATTCGATTGAAATGATCATGTAAAAACTTAAAAAAAAAAATTTAATTATATAGTCATATACATATTTATATGTATGTATGTATGTATGTATGAGTCATATTCCAATAATAAATCTAACAAGATGATCTAATAGTACTTTTTCTTTTTTTATAATTCGTTCATCTAACGTTTGGCGATTTTCCATAATAAATAATATAATATATATATATTGATATTTCTTCATTCCCTTGTGTTTCTATTAGATTTATCGCTATTTGATTATTTGGCATAAGTAGATTTTTCCTTTTTTCTTTTAATAAAATCAATTTTAATCTGATGATATATATTTGTTATGTTTTTACGAATATTTCTTTCTTATTCATTTTCTTGTCTTTATACTGTTGCTTTTTAAATAAAAAAAAAATTTCTTTTTAATAAAGCTTTCCGCGATTATATTGTGCTATGGCTTTACAATATCTGATAACTACTTCAATTAAAGTGAAATAGTTGAATAGTTTAAAATAATAATGAAAAAAAATATAATATGAATTTATCTATTAATAATAAAATGAAAACTTTTGTCGTTTGTTATAAAGCTGAATAAACAAACAATATTTGTATTATTTTATTCCCAATTAAGGATTTCTTTATTTATTGATATTTACTAATAATTATCAACAAACGATTGTTGGATATTGTTACAATGTCATTTTAGTTTTTTTTTTTTTTAAATTAAATATTTTTGTTTCTGCAATAATTATATCAAATTTAATTTATTATTAACAATTTAAAAAAGTCCCATTAACTTTTATTAAATCGGAGTATCATCAAATGAGTTTATGTTTAAATAATCAAATTATTGATCATTAATTGTACCGTTTGTATTAAAAAACTATCGACAACCCCTTAACCCCCCTCCTTAATATTTTTTAACCTATTTTAAACAAAATTATATTATATATATAAAAAATAAATATTTTAATATATTCCGAAACTTTTCATAACAATGCGGTTTTTAATTGAAATTAAATTTGTGAGTATATAATTAATTGCCGTTTTGAAGGCGAAAACAAAGTAAATTTAATTCTTTGATTACAATTATTATTTAATAAAAAAAAAAAAAAAATCAAACGTTTTATTATTATTATTTTTTTTATTTTTTAAATATTTAATTTTTTATTTAGAGTGAAGATGCTGGAGCTAAAACTTTGCA